TTTTTCACATAAGAAATCTTCATTACATAAACAAAGTTAGTAGATTAGTAGTTATTATTCAAGATTTGCATTTCCGTTTTGCTAATAGTTACGTAATTTAGTTTGTTAATATCTCAACATTCGAAATTAGTGACAGTGATTTCGTTCGATTTTCTGTAAATTTCCTGTTAAAATTTATCATTGCTAACTTACACCTTCTCTGTGGGATCGAAATTTGGGGCTTAAATAGAAAGTCCATTATTAATTGATAACGATACGTATACTTGCATAGAATCTTATTATTAATTGCCTATAATTATATATATTTTACACAACTTACTTTTCATATAAAGATTAAGTTTTTGACGATGTAGTGGGGTCAACTTCATAAATCCTGACATATAAAAATCGGAATCACTCTCCCGAGTCATTAGGGTTCACAACACATTTTAACATTTCATTTGACCAGAATGAAAAGCAAAAGAAGATATGAAGGTTAACCATCACTTTAAATAATTAAAAATAATTTTGAAAACAATTTATCACTCCTACACATCCTACTTAATCATCACAAGGTAAAGTAAAGAGTGCTACTCAGAAAGCATAAAAGAAACAACACACGAAATCATTGAAATAAGAGAATTCTATTATCCAAATGTTTACAAGTTTACAACAGAAATACACTAAGAAAGACACAATAAACTTATCTTCCTCTCCTTTACAATGACCTAAAGATGCTCCACCAATGCTCCTCTTGACTCCTGGCCACTGCTCTTGAAGGATCTCCATATTCTCTGCGCTTGAAGAAGGAGGAGGAGATTCCATGCTCTTGAAGGATCTCCATATTCTCTGCGCTTGAAGGAGGAGGAGATTCCACAACAGGTTACAAATCTCATAAATCTCCTTGAATTCACCAATTCTAAACCTGATAGTCTCATTCCTTTACACTCCCTTCAACAACCACTGAAACCTCTCTCACCTTCTCACAATATACTCCTTTTTCCGGCATAATAGCCCATTCCAGGACTCCTAATAACTTCCCATGACAGGCTCCCAAATTGCTCAAGACTGCCTTTGGCAGTTGTTGGCGCCTAGGCGTGAGTTTCTTAAGTCGTTAAAGTGTACATGGGCGCTTTGGCGCCCAAGGGAGAGGCGCCTAGGCGCCAGTGTCGCGACGCCTTGACGCCAAGTGGGTGGCGCCTAAGCACTGCCTTCTCAGTTTGTTAGGTAAGGGACTGACGGCTAGGCGTCCATGGGTCTGGTGCCAAGGCGCTAGTCTTCCATTTTGATCCTTTGCTCCAAGTCCCCTCCACATTGCTCCACTTCCAATATCTGTTGTGCCTGTAATGAAAACACGAGAATTCATTTCTTAAAAGTACAACTTTACCATAAAAATGTACAAAACATAAAGGAATTTAAGCATTATCTACTACACATCAACCGGTCGAAGCCGGTGCCTTTGTCGATTTCTCGCCAAAATTTATTTCCAGATGGGCGACCCTTTGCTAAGAGTCTGGTGTAAACTGTTGGTTTGACTATTTGTTGAGAAATCATTCCTACGCAGATTGAGGGAAGAGTGCCGATTTGCTATCTTGGGGTCAAACGATTCTCTTTGCTCATTTGATTGGAGCAAATGAAGGTGCCGATTTTTTCCTGCAGGCCTTGTGCGACATGTTGATTTCTAAGAAGGTGATCGAGTTCTATCAGTCTGGGAAATGTTTTCCTCCTGGTCTTATGGAAGTCGATCGACGAGGCGTGAGGTATTGGATTACCCAATGGGGGGCTCCCACAATACAACGTTTCTTCCTTCGCTAATCATGGGATGTTCTTGAGATTCGTGCTGACACATTCTTGATATATATTCTCATATTTTGTAAGATTTAATTTAAATCAAACATAAATTTATTAAGAGACAACCCCTAAATTATTAATGGTTGTTTGACGACACCTTTCTAATATGATTTACATTAAATTTATAGATTTAGATTAAATTCTACCAAAAAGTTAAATGCACACATGTTAAATCCCATGATTTTTAAATTCGAATTTCTTTGCCCTTAAAACTAAATTTACTAAATCCTATAATTCGATAATTTGATAAATCCAAAATTATATCATTTATTAAATTCTATTTCTGCGAACAGCAAAACAGCCCATAGATTCACCAAGCCAATTCTTGTCTGTAATTGCCCTAGCGTAACGATTTCTTAGAATAATGTCTGCCGAACTGGAAGAAATGCATAATCCATCGCTGGAGGTTATTGATGAAGACGATGACCAGCCGTCGCTTAGCCTGCATACGCTTGAAGCTCTGAAAGAGTTCCTTTGCGAGCAGAGCTCGGGAGCCGGTGAAAGCTTGGGGGACGTGAGGCTGGTAGCGGAGGACTGGAGGCTAAGCCAGTTCTGGTACGATCGAGACACTGCAGAGACGATTGCAGAGGAGATAAGAAGCCTATCTTCGTCCAGCCATTCTCCGGTTGCCTGCATTGCTTGCCCTACAATTTATGCATATCTCAAAGTGAGTTCGCTCTCTTGTCATTTTGTCTCTGTTTGGTTTGAGGGAATTATAAGAAATGAAACACAAGGGAAATAATACTGGAATTGAATTTACAATTGTTTTACTTCATTTGTTTGGTTGAGGAGAAATTTAGCGAAAGTATATATTTTTTTTCCTTTATTGTTTGGTTGATTTGCTAAACACCCTCATCTTAAGGGCTCGTAAGTTTTCTTCTAGCGATTTCTAGAACACCCTTAAATTAAGGGTCAGGCCTTTCTTGATTTTGTGAGCTCACCATACATCAATTATCCCAACAATCTCAAAGCCCTCGCTTAAGTTACAAGCCCACGAGCGGTGGCGGCCGTCGCCACGAAACAGCTGTCCCTGTCGTTGCCCTCTCATTTGGGAGCCGCAAAGAAGGACGGTTGAAAACCCAAACCGGCGTAGATTGGCGCCAAGGAAAATAGGCTTTAAAGAAAACTAAGGGTGGAAAGTCTTGAGGACCTGATTGAAGTGTGAAACTATTTAGGAGATTTGGAAGTTTCTTGGCTTACTAAGCTCTTTAATATTATTTTAAAAACTAAAAAGATGTCTGAGTAATGGAGGAAGAGTATTTTGGTCCCCATTTTTTAGAATAAAGGGAATGCACAATAGTGCGCAAATTATAGAGGAATTAAGTTATTTTGTCATACTTTAAAATTATGGGAGAGTAATTGAACATAGGTTAAGACGTATTACAAAGATTCTCATAATCAATTTGGAGGGCAGGTCTACTATGGAAGCTATACATTTATTGAGAGGTTTGATGGAGAAGTTCAGAGATAATAAGGAGGATCCACATTTGATTTTTATTGATTTAGAAAAAGCTTACGATAAGTTTTCATTAGATATCCTTTGGAGAGTTCTTGAGAAAAAAAGGTATTGATATGACTTATATTCAATTCATTAAAGATATGTACTAGAGCTGTTACTTGTGTTCGAATTGAAGGAGGATTGACCAAATATTTTCCTATTTCTGCTGGATTGCATCAGAGATCAGCCTAAAGCCTATATCTTTTTGCTTTAGTTATGAATGGTCTTACTGGACATTTACAGGAAGATGTACCTTGGTTTGGTCACATTAAACGTCGATCATCTGAAGATCCTATTAGGAGAGTAAATATTTTAGATTCGACTTATGTTAAGAAAGACAAAAGTAGACCTAGGAAGACTTGGGCTTATTGTATAAAAAACGATCTTAATTTATTAGAACTAAATTAAAATATGGCACTAAAATAGGTTGCAATGGAGAAAAAGGATTCATGTAGCCGACCCCACGTAGTGGGATTAAGGCTTTGTTATTGTTGTTATTTTTTGTAATTGAGGGGCTTGATAGTCACACAAATCTTTTGATAAAAATTTCATATGTTTTTCGTCAGGGTTGAATAGGTTGTTAGTGGAAAAAAAATTTGCTCATAGTTTTTTGATAAATGCAATTTTCTACTCATTGCATTCCAAGGAAACACAATTTAAATTGTGAAGCATTCCCCTGATTCCTTCAAACTAACATATTGTTAATGGTCTCGGGTTTTGAAATTTTAGATGAAAATTTCATGAGGGAAATGATGTGTCATACAGATGATAAGCCTAGATAGGCCTTGTGGTCCATGCATATTTGGTGGACTTTATTAGCTATTATAAATTGTCAAATAACTCACCAAGGACTCTAGAATCAATTTTAGCGTCAGGTGGAAGATTTTGTGATATATTATCTAGTTTATTAGGGGATACCGCCATTGATCCCTGTGCAAGCAAGTTTTTATCTTTTCTTTTAATGATGGTTGTGCCCATCTCTAATTTCATCATTTACCAAATAGGTTATAGGTGATATGCTTTTTGAGTTGATCATTTTGGGAAATGTGCTCATCAAAATGATTTTGAACTTGTTATAAAATGGTTGTCATGGTTGCAAACGATATTGATGTAGTATGCAAGTACAACTTATCGAGAGATTTTAAATGATCTACTAATAGATTCACTTGAAGCGATTATTAAAATCTACCATTGCAAATATGATCAAATTTATTTCATTATAAAAATCAAATTTAGTGTCATTATGTTTGTAGAAAATAACTTTATGATCATGTAGTAGTTAATACGATAATGTTTGGTGGAGCTCTTAATTAAACTTGCAAGTTTGACTAAGTATGATAATTTATAGGACTATTTTTAGGGTAATTTTAATTGGACATTAAACAGTTTTTCATGCAAAGCTATTTTATTTCCACTATTTTTAGGGTAATTTTAATTGGACATTAAACAATTTTTCATGCAAAGCTATTTTATTTCCCACACACACACACACACACACACACATATGTATATATATATATATATGTATATACTTTATAATAATAAGCTTGAACATTAATTTAGGATCTCCATGCATGTAAAAGACCTCTTATTAGCTGTTGGTGGAGACAATGGTCACTGGTGAGTGTTCGACGACGATGTTGAGTATTGGCATGCACATATCAATGCTGAGGTTGAAAGGAAGTTGTTCTTTGTAATCATAAAATGATTTGCACTACAAATAAGCGAAATGTGGGGGTCATGACGTGCGATGATTGAGTGAAGGATGACATAATAGATGAAAAAGACAAAATGTGGTTGAGAAGATGCAAGAAAAATGCATGCAATTCTATTTTGTGATGGTTTTTATGACATAATATGGGCTGCCTGTGGGGTTAAGGTGAGCGTGAATGAAATCTTGATGTAGAGATTGTGAGATTAGGGCTTGTTGGTCGCATGTAGGATAAAGTTAGTGAGTGGGGGCCCCATTGTTGTGAAATCATGCTCTGATAAAAAAAAATTGATGGAGGGAGAAAGAGGAATAGTCTCACCATACAAATTAGAATCTACTCAAGGAATATTGATAAGCGATTGTTATCAATGTGTATCGACCATTTAATTATGTTTGTTAATGGGTCCCACATTTTGAACCCTTTTATTGCCAATCTGCCTCACTTTTCGAAATTACTCTATTTTATCACTCTTTTTTCATTATCGGTTGGTAACTTTGCCCTCCATCAAATGTACTTTTGAGCTTTCTACAATATTACAGATTCCTTGACTTTTCATTCAAAATTTGAATAACCAATAATTTTTTGATAAATGTCCCCACTTCTATCATTACCCTTTTGTTATTGTACTTTTCTATCTAAGATTGAGCAAATGCGATAGTTGGATGACCAACCTAATAACAATATAAACAGGTCTTGTGCTTGGACAAAGTGAGAACCGCTCACGAGAAGGTTCAGGTTTTACACCTGATCAACTATGAAGCACGAACACAGATACGGGGACACGAACACGACACAACACTATATAGAGACACGACATAATTGAAAAAAATAGGACACGACTCGCCGTTGACACGTTTTTTATATTTAATTAATTATTAATATATATATATATATATATATATATATATTATTTTTATATTTTTTCCCACGATGTCGG